TTTGTCCTGCTTTGTTTTGTTTCTCTAATATGGAAAGGATAGAAATACATGTTAAGATTCATGCATGTGTAGAATCCATAAACAGTTTATGAGAACTGACCTTATAATGTATGGTGAAATGAAAAAATACTTTGAAGAAAAAGAGACACTACAGTACCCAGTGCTGATCCCATAGTGTCATGATGTGAAACCTGGCCATACTGTTATTCTTTGTTCAGAGTGATTTTAGCCTGCTTCTGTTTATTTAATCTCAACATAAATGAAGATATGGATAACTGCATGTATGTTTAAGTGTATAGGATTGATAACCATATTACTAAGTTTTTGTTGGATAGTTGAACAGAACTGTTTGCAGTCTCACTGTTTGAATTCCCACTTTATAGGTTCCATTTTTGTATCCTGAACAACTATTAAGAGGACAATATGTATAAACATCAACTATTGATGTCTTATGGTTTAGTTTTTTCTTTGAAATTATGTATTATTTCTACCCATTTTCTGTTTTATTTAGTCTTTCTTTAAATAAAATTTTAAAAAATACAGTGTATCATTATCACCAAAATAGTAAATGGTTAATTAGAATATAAGACAAAGACCAACAGAATTCTTACAAACTATTTTATTTATAAGTTAGGTTTGTCAATTAACAGAATCTATGTAACATTTAAACTGTATGTCTTATTTACTTCACTTAAAATTATAGTATTAAGGTATGCCTTTTTTCCTACAAATTACTCAAGTTCATCTTTCTTTACGACACAGTAGTACTTCATTGTAGATAAATGCCACATTTTTTTATCCATTCACCTGTCAATGAGCATATGGTTTGTTTTGAATATTTAGCTGTATCATGAAATATTATTCGACAATGAAAGAGAATGGAGTACTGATGCATGCCATGATATGGATGAATCTTAAAAATATACTAAATTGAAGAAGTCAGTCACAAAAGAATACATATCATATCACTCAATTTACATGAAATCCACATAGAAGTAGCAGATCTATAAAGATAGAAAGTAAATTGGTGATTTCCTAGAGCTGATATGAGGAGAGTGATTAATTGTTATGAATAAATTGTATACTTTCAACTGGTAAACTATAAGATGTGTGAATCATATCTCAAACAATCCACCTTAAAAAGAAACAAAACAAAAAATGAAATACAGATAAGTCAGATATCATAGTATATAGCTATAGTCCCCAGATCTAGGGATGCTGAGACAGGAGAATCATTTGGGCTCAGGAATTCAGGACCAGCTGGGCAGTGAATGATGAAAAGAAAAAGGAAAGGAAGAAATAAAAATGTCAGTAATTGAAAATAATCATCTTCAAGAAACTCAGTGAGTAACAAGAAAACAAGTAACTGGATAAAACAAAGAAAATGAAAAGTTTAAAACAATGTTAGAAACAAAGAAACAAAAATTGTGGAGAATGACAATAGATTATCATAATCTTTTTTTTTTTTTGTCTTTTTCCTTTTTATTGGTACCAGGGATCAAACTCATGACTGCCTGCTTGCAAGACAGGTGCTTATGCCGCTGAACTAAACCCCCAGCCCCTAGATTATCATAATCTTGATCAGCTAGGGATTTTATTTTAAGGAAAAAAAAGTAAAACAAAATTTCAAAGCAAACTAATAGCAGAATAACAAGTTAATACATTGAGTATTTTTATCTTTAGTTACTCAGAGTACAAGACATTGGCATAAAAAATTCTCCAAATGATATTAACAGAAATCTTTCTTTCTAATGACTTAAAATAAATGAGCAGTATAACCATGTTTTATTTTGGCAAGTTCAAGTTCACCTTTTCCCTTCTTTCTTTCCCTTTTTCCACATCCTGGCTCCTATTTCCTTTTGAGCACTTTCTTCCCATTGCACTATCTACTGTACATGTAAGACTTTATTTACTCTTTAAGTTTCTCACACAAGGGAGACAAAATGATGCTTATACATGTGAGTCTGATTTACTTCACTTACAATTATGGTCTCTACACTATGGTAGCTACTGCTATGTGAAGTTGTCTTGTGGTGAAATACTATGTTGCTTATTCTTTTGTGGCCTCTTTTGTTATGTCCTCTTTTATCTTAATCCTTTTCTTAAATAAAAAAAATTATGGTCTCTAGTTACATCCATTTACCTATAAAAGTTTCAAGTAACCCACTGTATAAAAAGACCACATCATTTTTAAAATTTTATTTAAAGGAAAAAAAACAAAGCAGTATAAGGGTACAAGTAATGCACAATTTCAAAAAAAGCAATAAGAAATCACAAGTTAATAGATGACAGGTTATCATCTTAGAAATAGTTGTTCAAGTTACAAAATAAAGCATACAAAGTGGACATTCAAACAGTGAGACTGCAAACAGTTATGTTCAATGGTCCAACAGAAACTTAGTAATATGTCATCTATCTTAACACCTAAACACACTTGCAGTTGCATCCTTTAGAGCACTTGTTTTTCCTCTCTTTATTATAATAACACTCACACATTTTGGGTTTTATTGTTCGATAGTTTTGATTACTTCTTTTGTAAGAGAATAAAAGCAAATATGACAAAACAAAGCCGTCAGTCAAAACAAAGGGTGGGCATAGTACATGATATAAAAACAGAGTACAAGGTAATGAACAATGGTTACCATAATGCCTCGTGCTACCTTAAAAAGAATTGCCTATATCATTAGGTATAATAAAATTGAACAAAACAGTACACAGCAAGACCAATAAAACCTAAACATTGGAGACATTACAGGACTTCAAAAGAAGATAATTGCCAAACCAGAATGGGCATCATAGGGAATCTTATTGCTTTCAAAGTAGTTGCCTATACCCTCAAACTTGATATTATCAAACAGAACAGAACAGAGTAAAATCAGTCAAAACAAGATTGTGGGAGCAATACAGGGCTTCAAATCAAGTTAATAGGAAATCAAAAAAGGTACTATAATATATCCTGCTAATTTTTTTGATTTTTTCCTTAATTAAACAACAATAATAATAAAACAAATAAATACATTTTTTTAAAAAGGGGGAGATTGAGATAAAAGTGGACATAACAAAATAACAATACAGGTCAAAGCAGAACAATTTCAGCAACATAGTGTTTCACCACAAGACAACCCGACTTAAAAGTAGTTATCATAGTGTCTGTTTCCTTGAAATATTTGAGTATAACTTCCTATACTGTAGCATCAAACATATCAAGGCAGTGTGAAACCATTCAAGAGGATGAAAGTATTACAGGGTATTTAGAACCAGCTAACGGAAAATGAACAATGGTTTCTACAATTTCTCTTTGCCTATAAAATTTTTTGTTTATACTATCACATATAATAAAATCCAGTAAGATACAATTTGATAAAACCAATGGAGACAGAAGAACAACAGTTTGGTGGGACTTCAAAACAAGATGATATTAAATCAGCACTAGCAGCACTAGCTATTATGATATCTCGTTTTCTTCAAGATAAATGTTCACATCATCACACACAATGATATCAAACAGCCCAGAATAAAACAATTCCAATTAATGAGTGAAAATTCATAAGTCTTCAAAGCCACATAATGGGGAATCATGATTACCATATAGTTTTAGGTATTCTTACCATGTCTTACACTAGGGAGACTATGTCGTATTTATACATTTGAGTTTGATTTATTTCACTTCTTAGTATGATCTCAAGTTACATCCATTTATTTATAAATATCTCAATGTGATCTTTCTTTATAGCTGAGTAGTACTCCATTGTATAAAAATACCACAACTTTTTTTATCCATTCCTCAATTGATGGACACTTAGGTTGTTTCTAAGAACTGTCTATTACAAATTGTGCTGCTATAAATATGGGTGCACATATATCACTGTGGTATGATGCTTTCAGTTCTTCTGGGAATATGCCAAGAAGTGGCATAGCTGGGTGAAATGGGACTTCCAATCCCAGTTTCTTGAGAAATCTCCAGACTGACCTTCACAATGGTTTCAGCAGTCTACACTCCCCCCAACATTTCAGGAGAGTTCCTTTTTCCCCACAGCCTCTCCAGCATTTGTTGTTGGTGGTTTTATTGATCCTGGCCATTCTTTTAGGAGTGAGATGGAACCTCAGTGTGGTTTTAATTTGCATTTTTCTAATGACTAATGATGATGAACTGTTTTTCATGTATTTATTTGCCATTTGTATTTCTTCATCTGAGAAGTGTGTATTCATCTCAGATGCCCATTTTTGGATTGCATCTGTGAATTTTGGGAGTCTGATTTTTAAATTCTTTATTTGTTTTAGACATAATTCCTTTGTCTGAGGGACAGTTCACTAAGATTTTTTTCCCACTTTGTGGATTTCTTTTCACTATCCTGGAGATTTTTTTGACATGCAGAAACCTTTTAATAAGAGGTGATCCCAATTATTGATTCTAGGAAGTATTTCCCATGTGGTTTGATTCCTGTTCATGAATTCTCTACCTACCCCTATGTCTTCAAGGTTTTTACCCAATTTGTCTTCCAACACATTTAGTGTTTCTGTTTTGTTTTGTTTTGTTTTGTTTTGTTGTCTTTTTCATTTTTATCGGTACCAGGGATCGAACTCTCGACTGCCTGCTTACAAGACAGGTGCTTATGCCACTGAGCTAAATCCCCAGCCCTGTGTTTCTGTTTTAATATTGAGATCTTTGACCCATTTAGATTTTAATTTAGTACATGGTAATAGGCATGGATCTAGTTTCTGTTTTCAGCATATGGAGAGCCAGGTTTTCCAACACCATTTATTAAGGAGACTGTCTTCCTTTCAGCGAACCTGTTTGGCTCCTTTATCAAATATAAGGTGGTTCAGTGTGCTTGTAGTTGTGGTTGTATCTTCCAATCTATTTCATTGATCTTCAGCTCTGTTTTGATTCCAGTACTGTGTTGATTTTACTATGGTTGCTTTGCACTATAACTTCAAGTCAGGGATTGTGATGCCTCCTTCCTTGCCTTTGTTGCTTAGAACTGTCTTTGCTATTCTAGGTCTCTTCTCGCTCCAGATGAATTTTAGGAGTGATTTCTCAAGATCTATGAGGTATGTTGACAGTATGTTTGTTGGGATTGCACTGAATATGTATGAGAGTTTTGGGAGAATGTCCATTTTCACAATATTTATTCTTCCTATTGATGAGCAAGGAATGTCTTTCCATTTTCAGAGAGCATCTTCAATTTCTTTTTTCAGTGTATTATAATTTTCCCTGTATAGGTCTTTCACTTCTTTCATGAAAGTAATTCCTAAATATTTCATTTTTTGGTTCCTAGTGTGAATGGTGTGTCTTCCATTATTTCTCTCTCAGTGATTTTGTTGTTACTGTATAGGAATGTTATTGTTTTTGGAGTATTGATTTTGTATCCAGCTAAATTACTGAATTATTTATTATGTCTAAGAGAATTTCAATTGAGTTTTGGGGGTCTTCTATGTAGAGTATCATATCATCTGCAAACAATGATAATTTAACTTCTTATTTTCCTATCTTTACCCCTTTTATTTCTCTCTCTTGTCTAATTGCTCTGGCTAGTTTTCCAGTACTATATTACATAGCAGTGGTGATAAGGGACATCCTTGTCTTGTGCCTGATTTTAAAGTAAAGGCCTTCAATTTTTGGCCATTTAGTATGATACTGGCTGTTAGTTTGTCATAGATGGCCTTTAATATATTGAATTAAAGACCATCTATTCCAATTAATGCATGTTGGACCTTATCAAAAGCTTTTTCTGCATCTATAGAAATGATCACGTGGTTCAAAATTTTAACTTTATTGATATAGTGGATTACATTTATTGATTTACGTATGATGAACCATCCCTGCATGCCTGGGATGAATCCCACTTGGTCATGGTGTATAATATTCTTGATGATTTGCTGAATCCTATTTGCCAATATTTTATTGAGGATTTTTGCATCTGTGTTCACTAGGGAAATTGGTCTATAGTTCTCTTTTTTAGTTGGGTCTTTCTCAGGTTTTGGTACTAGAGCAATATTTGCTTCCAGGAATGACTTAGGAAGGACTGCTTCCCATTCCATATCATTGAAGAGTTTGAGGAGTGTCTGTCCGCATTAAATCTTCTTTGTATTTCTTGTAGAATTCTGCAGTGAATCCATCTGGGCCATGGCTATTCTTTGTAGGTAAGGATTTAATTACATTTTCAATTTCATTAACAGAAATTGGGTTATTCAGCAGTTTTACATTTTCTTGACCTAGCTTTGATACTTCATATGTTTCTAGGAATCTGTCTGTTTTTTCTGTTATCAAACCTTTGAGAATAGAGGTTTTCAAAATAGATGTTGATGATCTTCTCTATTTCTATAGAGTCTGTAGTGATTTGACCTTTTTCATTTGTTATTACATGAATTTTAGGTTTTTCATCACTTTTTCAAGTAAGGTTGGCTAGGGACTTATCAATTTTATTTGTTCTTTCAAAGAACCAACTCTTTGATACATTGATTCTTTGGATTGTTTTCTTAGTCTCTATTGCATTGATTTCTGCTCTGATTTTTATATCTTCCTCTCTACTTTTGGCTTTAGGCTTGAGTTGCTCTTCCTTTTCTAGATGTTTTAGGTGTAACATCAGGTTATTTATTTGTATTCATTCTGTTTTCTTGATATGGGAACTCAGTGCAATAAATTTTCCTCTGAGGATGGCTTTCATTGCATGCCACAGATTCCAGTAAGTTGTATTTGTATTTTCATTGGCTTGTAGGTATTATTTTCTTCTTTAATTTCCCCTGTGACCCACTGATTACTCGAGTGTGTTATTCAATTTCCATGTGTTTGAGGGATTTCTGCAGTATCTTTTATCATTAATTTCTAATTTCAAAGCACTATGATCTGATGACATGCAAGGGATAATTTCAGCACTTTTGCATTTATTTAAATATTTTCTGTGAGCTAATATATGGTCTAATTTAGAGTATGACCCATGTACTGCTGAGAAGAATGTGTATTCTGATGCTGTTGGACGTAACTCTCTGTATATGTCTATCAAGTCCATTTGTTTACATGTGTGTTTCAGTTCTGTTATTTCTTTGCTGATTTTCTGTTTGGTTGATCTGTCCCCCCTTCTGTTTGGTTGATCTGTCAATGGTGTGTTAAAGTCTCCTGTTACAATTCTGTTACAGATAATTTGATTTTTCAATTCTGTTAATACTTGTTTTACATAACTGGGTGCTCTGGAATTTGGTTCATACATATTTAAGATAGTTATTTCTTCCTCTTGAAGTTTCCCCCTAAACAGTATGTACTGACCTTCTTTATCTCTTCTGATCATTATTGGTTTAAAGCTCACATTGTCTGCAAACAGAATGGCTACTCTTGCTTTTTTGGGGGGTTCCTGTTACATGAAGTATTTTTTTTTTCCATCCTTTGGCTTTCAGTCTGTGAGTTTCCTTTTGGGTTAGATGGGCTTCTTGTAGGCAGCATATGGTTGGATGTTGTTTCTTGATCCATCTTGCCAGTCTGTTTCTTTTAATTGGTGCATTGAGAGCATTTACATTAATAGTTATAACTGTTATATGTTGGCTTATTGTTGACATGTTATCTTTCTGGTGTTGTATCTTTATCTTTCTGTTCTGTTTAATTGTCTGCTTTGCTTAGTGGTTTTTTTCCTAAGTGTATCTGAACTGTCTTTCAATATTTTTTGCCAGGTTGGCATGGTGATCATGAAATTCTTCAGCTGTTTTTTTGTCATGGAAGTATCTTATTTCTCCCTCCATTTTGAAGAAGAGTTTTTCATAGTACATCAGTCTAGGTTGGAAATTACTTTCCTTTATCTGGAATACTTCACTCCATGCTCTTCTTGATGTTATTGTTTGTGCAGAGAAGTCTACTCTGATCCTGATAGATTTTCCTTTATAAGTTATCTCTCTTTCCTTTCTGACAGCTTTTAATATTCTATTCCTATGTTGGATTTCTGGGATGTTAATTATTTTATTTCTGGGGGTAGTTTTATTTTGGTTATGACTCTTTGGAGTTCTATATGCTTCACTGATCCTGATGTCATCTTCTGATGTCATGTTTGGGCAATTTTTAGCTATTACTTCTCTTAATATCCTCTTGACATCCTTTACGTTGTCCCCTTCTTTTTCATTAATCCCTATCAATCTTATGTTTTTTCTTTCTTTCTTTTTTTTTTTGTCTTTTTCCTTTTTTTCGGTACTGGGGATCAAACTCACGACTGCCTGCTTGCAAGGCAGGTGCTTATGCCGCTGAGCTAAATCCCCAGCCCCTCTTATGTTGTTTTTCTTCGTGTCACCTTGCAGTTGTTGATTTGCTATTTCCTGCTTCATTGTTATTTTTAAAAGATCTTTCCTTTCCTTTTTGCTAGCTGCATTCTGGTCTTCAAGGTCTGAAATTCTATATTCACATTCATTCAGGTGCTATTTACAGCTTTCAGTGGAATTTTTGATTATCTGTGTATCTCTGTGCATCTGATTTATGTATTCTGTTTTTTTCTTTTATTTCTCATCTAAGGATTCTATCTTTTTTTTAGTTCCTCCAGTTTTTTAACTGTGTCTTCTTTAGATATATTCAGCATCTCTTTCATTTCTTTTATCATTTCTTCTTTTACCTGGGAGATTATTTCTAGTTTGAATTCCTTTAAATCTTCCCGGAATTGCTTTATTTCAGTTGCTATTATGTCCAATATTTGAGGTGTATGGCATATATTTTCTTCAATGTACATCACTCCTAATGTTTCTTTGGATAGGCTGGAGGTTTGATATTGTAATTTGGTCTTTGTTTTGTCATTTTCCTATATTTCTGTGTTTCAAGTATTTTGAGTGTTATTCTGTGGTTTCCCAAGTATCTGCTGGAAATTCCCTTCTATGCCCTCAGCTCCTGGGACTCTGGCACCCAGTTCCCTGGATTGATAGAGGGTCACTGGGATTGGAGCATGCTGGCTCAAGCCCAGCCTCTGGAACCTATGGTGCCCGCCTGCTTGCTGAGCACTCCATAGTCCACCAAACACAGCCGGTTGCAGGGAGGCTGATGCTGGTGCCCAGGACCCGCCATGCTGCTCCAGTGCACCCAGAAACCATGAGGTTCCCTGGCCAAGGCCCAGTGAGGGTCTCAAACTAGCTGGACTCAGGGGAAACTGTGCGGGGCACTTATGCCAGGCCACTGGCCCCAGGAACCAATGGCACCCACCTGCTTGCTTAGATCTCCACAGTCCACCAAGCACAACCAGGAGTGAGGAGGCCAATGTCGGTGCCTTGGACACGCAGTGCTGCTCCAGTGCACCCAGAAGCCGTGAGGTTCCCTGGCCTGGGCCAAGCAAGGGTCCCAAACTAGCTGGATTCACGGGAAAGTGTGCAGGGCACTTACGCCAGGCCACTGGGCCTCTGGAACTGATGGTGCCCACCTGCTTGCTTAGATCTCCACAGTCTGCCAAGCACAACCAGGAGCAGGGACAACCACATCATTTTTTATCCATTTTTCAGTTGATGAGTGCTTGTATTGTTTCCAAGATTTAGCTGCAAAAAAAAAAATGTGCTACTATAATCATGGGTGCACATATATCACTGTGGTATGATGTTTTAATTCTTCTGGAATTGATGGTTCAATTGGGATCTCTAAACCTAGGTTTTTTAGGAATCAATATACTGAGTTCCATATTTATTGTACCAGTCTGTACACTCACCAACACTGAAGAAGAGTTCCAGGTAGTGAATTTAATAATAAATGTAGTTTTATTGCTAGGACAAATTAAAATGTCTTTCTGGAAGTTAATGTGTAGATATTGATGTGGCAAAAATATGTTTTGCTCCATCACTATCAGTAAGGCCCAACAGAAGCAGTTTACTTTCAGCAATACAGTTTAACTGTCTTCATGCATAGATCAACTTACAGTCTTGCATGTTATTTACTTCACTTAACATTACGGTCTCAAGTTACATCCTTTTATCTAAAACTTACTCAAATTCATTTCTCTATGGTAATGGAGAAAATCTGGATCATTTTTTTTTCTTTTCATGAGATATCACACTGGTCCATTACATTTATCACATTTCACTGATTGAACCTAGTGAACAAGAAAAAGCAACCATTTTAGACTTACTGGTAAGAATTTTGTGTGTAAAAAAAAAAGGAGAAAGAAATCTGACTAAAATTGAAGGACCTTCTATTTCAGTGATATTTCTAGGGGCCCAGTGATATGGTGAATGTCAAGATGTCCTTTCTTGAGTGGTCAAGGAATTTCACAGCTTCCCATCACACCAACAGGCTCCTGCTCCATAGGTTTTCAGCCTGCCTGGGAAACCACCAGTGACACTTTCTCAGTCCAGGGAACTGCCAGCCAGAGTCCCAGGAGATGAGCACATGGAAGATGACTTCCAACAGGCCCAGGGGAAGCCTTGAAACAGGGAAATACAGGAAAATGATAAAAGGAAAGACCAAAATGCAATCTCAAACCTATAGCTCATCCCAAGATAGCCTAGGAGCTATGTACATACAAGAAAATATATGCCACACAACTGAAATGTCTGAAATAATAGCAACTGAAATAAAGAAGAAACTCCAGGAAGCTTTAAAAGAATTCAAATTAGAAATAATCTCACAGATTAAAGAATAAATGATAAAAGTAATGAAAGAGATGCTGAACACACCTAAAGAAGACAGAGTTAAAAAATTAGAGGAACAAAACAAAACCATAAAATCCCTGGATGAACAATAGAGGAAACAAACAGAATATAAGAAGCAGATTCAAAGAGACACAAAGGAAATCAGAAATTCCATTGAAAGTTGTCAAAGCCACATCAATGAAAGTGAAGATAGAATTTCAGACGTCGAAGACAAGATTGCAGCTAGTGAACAGTAAAGATCTTTTAAAATTAAAAAGGAATCAGGAAATAACTATTCAACAGCTGCAAGATGATGCAAAGAAAAACAACATAAGATTGACAGGGATAAATAAAAAAGAAAGGGACTCCACAAATGATATCAAGAGGCTATTTACAGAAATAATAGCTGAAAATTTTCCAAACATGAGAATGGAAACTGACATTCATATTAGTGAAACATATGGAACTCCAAATAGCCATAACCAAAATAAAACTAGACCCAGACATATAATAATCACCATGCAAAAATCCAACATAAAGAACAGAATATTAAAAGCTGTCAGGGAGAA